GGAAAACAAAATCAAAATGAGCAAGTGGGACTACATCAAACTAAAGAGCTTCTGTACAGCAAAGGACACAACCACCAAAACAAAAAGGCAACCAAAAGTATGGGAGAATATATTCATCAGCAGTTCATCCAGTAAGGGGTTAACATCCAAACTATGTAAAGAACTCCTATGCCTCAACACCAGAAAAAATCCCAAACCAACCAACCAAAAAACTTGACTAAAAAATGGGTGGAGGACCTGAACAGACATATCTCCAAAGAAGACATACAGATGGCCAAGAGGCACATGAAAAGATGCTCTACTGTGCTAATCATCAGGGAAATACAAATCAAAACCACAATGAGATAGTACCTCCCAAAAGTCAGAATGGCAGCCATCCAGGAGACAAAAATAACAAGAGTTGGTGAGGATGTGGAGAAAAGGGAACCGTTCTACACTATTGGTGCGAATATAAATTGGTGCAGCCCATGTGAAAAGCAGTATGGAATTTCCTCAAAGAACTAAAAGTAGAAATATACCACCCAGTAATCCCACTTCTAGGAATTTACCCAAAGAAAAAAATTCTTGATTTAAAAAGATAAATGCACCCTTATGTTATCACTGCATTATTCACAATGGCCAAGTCATGGAAGCAACTAAGTGTCTATCAACAGATGAGTGGAAAAAGCAGATGTGGTACCTATACATATGTGGTATATATAACAATGGAATATTACTCCGCCATAAAAGAAAGAAATACTGTCCTTTGGGACAATATGGATCGACCTAGAGGATATTATGTTAAGTGAAATAAGCCAGGCAGAGAAAGATAAATACCATATAATTTCACTTATTTGTGGAATCTATAAACAAAACAAAACAAAATGAATGAAATATCTATAGACTCATAGACCCTTTGAAATCTCTGGTGGTTAACATGGGTATGGGAGTGGGTGGGTGATTGGAGAGGGTGAGAGGAATAAAGGGGCACAAAAATTCTCAATCATAATATAAGTTGATCACTGGGATGGTAGTACAGCATAGAGAATATAGCTAATGATTCTGTAACATCTTTCTATGTTGACAGATAATAACCGCACTAGTGGGGCTAAGGATTTAATAATATGGGTAACTATTGAACCACTGTGTTGTATACTTGAAACCAATATTACATATCAATGATACTTCAATTAAAAAAAAACCTTTGTTGAGACATATACACAGGAAAACTAATTGAAATATTATATATATCAATTTACATACATTTATTTGGACAATAGTTTGAAGAAAAATCACAATGCATTTCAATTAAATATAAAATATTTAAGCTATATTTTTTGGATTTATGGGACATTAATCTATCTTTAGCTTGAAATAAAAAAGAAACAAAAATAACATATAGATATTGGTACAAAAGAGTTTGGTACTTATTAAACTGAATCAAAGTTATAAAACCACAAAACTTTTTTGAAATAGCTTTTTAGAAAAATATTTTAAAAGACTAGTCTTATACTACATGTAATACATAAATGCACAAAATGCCAGGCATATATAAAACATAATAAATTAGATGCAGGACTCTGCTATAACTTTCTACTGCTAGAAAGTTCTTCAGCAAGCTGCTTTCTACTTCTCTTACCCCTGTATACCTTTTATTTGGGTCTCTGATCAAATGTTATGTCCTCAGAGGGGCATTCCTTGATGACCCTATTTAATATAGCACCCCTATCACTCTATCTTCTTAATCTTTTGTTTTTCATCATAGCACTTATTATTACAAAAGATTATGGAATTTAATATTTGCTTATTATCAGTCTCCACCTTAGCATGTCAAGTCCATTAGGCCCGAAAACTTGTCTGCCTTGTTCACTCATGTATCCCTAGCACCTAAAATAGCAGCTGAATAAATAAATTAATGAATAACAAATGAGTCATATTTTGAACATATAGAGCAATTTGTGGCAATTTGGGAATACTTTGGTCAAAAGAAGAGACAAAGCAACTATAAAATGAAGATTCTCATCTCTGCATTTGTATTTCCTAATGCCCCTGGAACTCAACAGACACTAGTGAAGACATGAAAAAAGTAAAATACACAAATTTTTAAGAGAATATTAACAACAAAATATTCACACATATTTTTAATAGAAATCTGTAATATAGTTACAGAAATCTGTAATACAGTTACAGATTTAATAGACAAGCTATTTACACACAAAAACATTAACTGGATTACCCTAAATAAAATTTATCTCAAAAAGTAGTTAGGGGACATGAGCAAAGTATCAGAGTAAGTACCTCTAAAAATTGACTTCTCCATAAAAAGAATGAGAAAATGGCCATAAATTACCAAAATCCAAATTTTCCTAACTGTGGAAGTTAATCAAATGTTTGCATCAATCCAGGAGTGTTTATTCAAAATAAAAGACTGAATTTCAGAATAGTAAGCTTTGTGGCATTTTAACTTTCCCTAGTACCATTCCCCACTTTCTAGTTCCAAGTAGCCTTAAAAAATAACAGCCAGCATTTTGGGTAAAAACCAACACTCTGGCTACCCTAGAGAGATCAGAATGAGGCTTGAGGTCTTTCAAAGTGTTATTACCAATATCCTATGAAGTCAGTGTTATCAATGGTATCAAAATCTAAGACATTACAAGAAAATTATAAATATCTCTTATGAATATAGATGCAAGAGTCCTCAACAAAATACTAGCAAATTGAATCTTGCAGCATATAAAAAGGAATATATACCATGACCTAGTGGGATTTATCCCAGGAATGCAAGGTTGGTTCAACATATGAAAAACCATCAATAGATTAGACCATATTTCATTAGCCACAGAAATAGTATTTGATAAAATGTAGCATCACTCACAGAAAAAAGCCTAGGAATAGAAGTGAACTTCCTCACCTAACAAAGAGCATCTACCAAACCCCATAGTTAACATTACATTTAATGCTGACAGACTGAAAGCTTACCCCTATGATCAGGACAAGGGTTGTGCTCTCACCACTGCTGCTGTTCAACATTGTACTGATGGTTCTAGCCACAACAAGTAGGCAAGAAAAAGAAATAAAAAGCATCCAGATTATGTAAGAAGAAATAAAACTATTTCTATTTGTAGAAGCCACAACAAATTATAGCTAATAAAGTTCAGCAAGGTGGCAGGATACAGATCAACACACAAAAGTGAGTTTATTTCTATAAATAGAAATAAGCAATCTCCCTTACCCCCCCAAAAAAGTTAAGAAAAAAGTTCTACTGACAATAACATCAAAAAGAATAAAATACTTGGGAATAAATTTAACAAAAAAAGTGCAAATCTTATACAATGAAAACTATAAAATATAATCGAAAGAAATTAAAGACCTAAATAAATAGCCATTTTGTGTTCATGGATAGGCAGAATTAATATTGTTAAGATGACAACACTATCCAAAGTTATCTACAGAAGCAATGCAATCCTATAAAAATTCTAGCTGCCATTTTTGTAGAAATAGACAAGCTGATCCTAAAATTCATATGGAAATGCAAGAGACCAGACAGACAAAACAATCTTGAAAAGAAAAGTTGGAGGACTCAGACTTCTCAGTTTCAAAATGTCTAACAAAGCTACAGTAATTAAGATGGTGTGTTGCTCACATAAAGATGGCGTGGAATAGAATTGAGAGGCCAGAAATAAACCCATACATCTATGGTCAATTGACTTTTCACAAGGTATCAAGAAAATTCAATGGAGTGCCAAAAGAATTAAATGGGAAAAGAATAGTCTTTTAGCAAATGGTGCTGGGAAAACTGGATATCCACATGCAAAAAACTGAATATAGATCCCAACCTCATACCAAATACAAACAATTACTTAAAAATGGAAAAAGAGACCTAAATGTGAAGAGCTAAAGCTATAAAACTCTTAGGAGAAAACATAGGTATAAATCTTTGCAATCTTGGATTAAGCAACGGTTTCTTAGATATGATACCTAAGCACAAGCAACCTAGGAAAAAACAGAAAAAATAGGTAAATTGGACTTTATCAAAATAAAAAAACTTCTGTGCTTCAAGGACACTATAAAGAAAGTTAAAGGACACCAATAGGAGAACACATATTTGCAAATCAAATATTGGATAAGCATGTTGTACACAGAATTATACAAAGAAATCTTACAACTAAAGGACAAATAACTTGACAACTAACTCAATTTTAAAATGAGTGAAGGATCTGACATTTCTCCAAAGATATACAAACAACCAGTAAGTACGTGAAAAGATGGTTATTATTAGTCATTAATGAATTACAAATGATACAAGAAGACTCCAGGTTACAACTACCAGGATGGCTATAATAGGAATGCAAAATGGCATAGCCATTTTGGAAAACAGTTTTGTAGTTCCATAAAAAGTTAAACATAGAGTTAACATGTAACTCGGTAATTATACTCATCGTATATACCCAAGAAAATTGTAAACACATGTTCACACAGAAACTTGCATGTGGATATTCACAGCGGCAATATTCATTATAGCCCCGAAGTGGAAACAAACCAAATGTCTATCAATGGATGAATGCATAAACAAAATGTAGTTTCATAATGGAATATAATTCAGCCATAAAAAGGAATACAGTACTGATACATGCTACAACATGGTCAAACCTTGAAAACATGCCAAGTGAAGGAAGCCAGTCGTAAAAGGTCACATATTTTATGATTCTATTTATATGCAATATCCATAATAGGTCAGTCCATAAAGGCAGAAAGTAAATTAGTAGTTGCCAGGGACTAAAGGAATGATTGCTAATAGGTATTGTGGTTCTTTTTGGGATGATGAAAATGTTCTAAATTTAGATAGTGGCATTGGTTGTACAATTTTGTGAAGAAAGAAAAAAACACTGATTATATTCTTTAAAAGGATGAATTTTATGGTATGTGAATTATAACCCAAAAATGTTAATTAATAAAAATAAAGGGAAATAATAATAAAAAATAAAAGGAAGCAGCAACACAAGTATACTTTTCTAACTTACATTTTCTGGGATGCTCATGTTTTCTTTGTTGACATTTCATACTGTTGTCATTAAAGTCAGATTTATGATGTTGAGTTACTTGATTTATTTCTTGAGGTAGAACTATACCCTGAAAATTAAAATTCTTATAAATGATTTAAACAAACTCAATATTATAACTACTTTTCCTCAATGTTTAATAAATATATCATTTTATAAAAAATTATACAGTTCATTACAAAAAAATAAAGAACAGTATACAGAATTTTAAAAAAACACAAATCATCCAGAAATATCCATTAACATAATAATCATCACTCCAGATATTTTTCTGTGCATGATTAGATAGCAAGATATATAGAAAACAATTATTTTACAAAAAATGCTCCTTTTAATAGCAAGAAATCTAATTTTTCTTGAAGTTAATATAGAAACTAAAGAAAAGATTAAACTTCAGGTAAATGCTTCTTCATCACAGAACCATCAACCTTGAAAGATGTCTCTACATTTGCTGCAAAATAATTCTATCCCTGACGTAGGTGTAGTGGGAAAATGAGTAGGTGTTATAGAATAAATAGGGTTGGACATGTGCAAGGTAAGGGGTGGGTACCTGTTGTTCATTATACTATTCTCTTGACTTTGTTATTTAAAAAATCTCCATTAAAAAGTTTATAGAATTCATGATTTCTGCCTATTACGAAAACTGAGGATATTAGCCCTTCCATATTCCTTCCCCCACTACCTGATTTTTATTAACTGGTATTTATACTGTCAAGGTTTTCAAATGATGGAAGACTACCACCAGATAGCAAGACTGGTAATAAAGCTATAGTAATTATGATAGTGCATGAATGGACAGAATTAGTAAAATGGTATGAGAAAGTTTCATACACAGATCATATTATATCCTTTTGTTTTCTGATATGGAGAGGAGGCCTGAAGGAAAAAGAGACAGATAACTTGCCACAGTTGAAGCAGGAAAGGAAGCAGAAGCACAGGCTAGAAATGTTCAATACAAATTAGTCATTTCACAATTTTGCTTTTGGTGGGCCCTATTAATTTTCTTCTGGATACAGATAAATGAACATGGGGTACAAAGGCACATCATGTCCTAGTTGGCAGTGGGAATGCTCCAAAATAGTTGTATATGCCCCAGAGTGTGAAGGAAGGTCCAATGAGCTCAAATGCACAGGAACACCAGGGCTCTTTCATCTTGGAGAGTCGTAAGGGCCAGGAGACTTCCATCAGCATAGTATACTGGCTGGTGGGACTGTGCACTACAGCAGGTACATTGGGGCAGTTTAACTCTAAGAAAGGTAATTAGAAGGTAACATGAGGATCAATAGATGGGTATGAACAAATACTGTGTATCTATTATGTGCCAGGTGCGGTTAAGATATATTTGCATCCATTATCATATATCATATCAAAATAATGTTATAATCATAAAAATGTTATGGTATATTTTGATTCCATTTTATAGACGAGTAAACTGAGGCTCAAAGTGATGAAAGTAATTTGGTTATAGAAATAAGTCACAGGCAGCTGACATTTGAGCTCTAACTCTAAAACCCATGTTCACAGTACCATTTCAGAGAAAAAGGGTGCCAGAAGTTTATTAGAAAGAAAAAATATTCTAGGTTTGGGTATAGTTTTTTGGTTCGTTCCTTTTGATAGCTATATAAAGCTATTTGTGTCAGTCACATTTTCAAATTTTACCAATAAAGGCTTGAATTTTTTTTTAAAGACTGTTTTTTTAGAGCAGTTTTAGGTTCACAACAAAATTGGGAGGAAGGTACAGAGAGTTCTCATGTTATACCCTGCTCCCACAGTTGCATGGTCATCACCATTATCAACATCCCCCACCCAAGTGGTACATTTGTTATAAATGTTGAACCTACACTGACACATCATTATTACCAAAAGTCCATAGTTTACACTGAGTTCACTCTTTGTGGTGTATAGTTTATGGATTGCAGCAAATATATAATGACGTGTATCTACATAGCACTGTAGTATCATACAGGGTATTTTCAATGTTCTAAAAATCCTCTGTGTTCTATCTATTCATCCCTCCCTTTCTTCCTAACCCCTTGGCAACCACTGATCTTTTTACCATTTCCATAATTTTGCCTTTTCCAAAAGCTTGAATACTTGTTTTTAATCATGTTGACAGATAGAGATGGATAGAGAGAAGGAATTTGCTCATCAGATGAATAACCATGTTGTTTATTAAATGTTTCATGGATGTAAGTGTTATACATGGTAGCACAAAATTTTTGGAATATTGGAGATTAACTTGGGAGGGTTCACACAAATAATGAAAAGTACCCAACAACAGGAGATATATGCAGTGGATTCTGAGGAGATATAATATCAAGTGTTGAGTTCCTCTCAAGGAAATGGGTGGTAAAACTAGCAGACCTTGACTAAGACCTAGTGAAATTTTAGTAGTGAGAGAGGAAAGGGCATCCTAAGTAGAAGGAACAATAAGAATACCCAAAATGGGAATTATCCATTTGTGGGTAATGGAAAGTAGAGAGACCAATATGACTGGAACAGACCAGACCATTTTACTAAATAGTTGGACACACTTTATATAAGAATTAGGTAGGGTCATAAAAAGAAAGAATTAGGTAGGGTTAGATCAAACAAGGACTAGATATTAGTTTGCATTGAGATTGAAGTCTGATAGTACTAAACAGGGTACCTTATACTTTCTAGACTATTTGAAGAACACTATTTTAGGGCTGGAAGATCTCAGAGGTCATCTAAGTCCATGCCCTAATTTTACACATGAGGCCACACAGATCCAGGGATATTATATTTGGTGAGTTTGAGTCACAAAACCTGATTTCCTGATTCCAGGTCCAGTGTCAAATGTATCATAGCACAGTACTTCCAGGACTAAACTGAGTTCAAAGCCATGGAACTCTTATTAATTAGCTACTTTGCCCATTTATGTCATGGGGCTAACATACATGAGAGGATCTTTGGGAAAGATTTTTCAGACAGTAGTAGGGAAGAAGGACCGGAAAGGAAAGATTAAGGAACAGGAAGCACAGACAGGAGGTTAATCTAGGAATGGCATGATAATCTAAGGTCCAGCTGTGGGAATTGAGAAGAAATAAATAATTGGAGTTTCTTACTGCAAAGCAGTATTAGAAAGAAAGAGCAAATGTTTTTTGACTCCATGCTTTTAGGATTATATGCATGGGGAAATGGTAGTATTAGAAATAAGGGTAAGAGAAGAGTTTAGGTCAGGTCCATTCTGAGACATCTTGAGGTTGAGGTGATGGTGGGGAATCCATCTATACCTGTCTTCTAGAAAGCTGCTGATACAGGGTTAGATCTTGACTGATAGGGATGAAATCACATAGACTGAGTAGTAATTAGCCAAGAAGTTAAGAGCCAAAGTCACCAGTGAAACAAGAAGGCAAAAGGGAAAAGACAAATGTTGCTGCATTGCGGGGAAGAGTCCCTAGTGAAAGACTGAAAGAACAAAGGCAAGAGGGAACTCAGGGTAGTGTTTCCTTTCAGACTATAACTCCTTGAAGGAAGTACCTATATTTTCTGCCTTCAATCTCTTTCCTCTCCTTCTCTCTTAAACTCACTCTAATCAGTATTTCACTACTGTCACTCTACTGAAACAGCCCTTGTCAAGATTCCCAATGATCTCATGTGCAAAACTCTATGGTCAGTTCTCAGTTTTCATCTTAACTGACCCATAACCAGCATTTAATTTAGTTGATCACTCTGTTGTCCTTGATATCCATTCTTCATTTGGTATCTAGGCACCATCCTTTACTGGTTTTCTTCCTGTCTCACTGGCCATTCTTCTCAGTCTTCTTTGTCAGTTTTATCTTGTTTCTCTGACTTTTAAGGGTGGAATTCTCTAAGGCTAAGTTTTTGGACTTCCTCTGTACCTAAAACTACTTCCTTGGATACAGATAAAGAGATATAGATAAACAGATACATGCCCTCACACACACCCAAATTTCTCACTCCAGATTGGACATCCTCCATGACTTTCAGACTCATAGTCCAACTCTACTTCTCCACTTAAATGTCCAACTCTTTACCTGCACTTAAATGTTTAACATGTATCTCAATCTTACCACATCCAAAATTGAACTGGCCTTCCCCCACAGATCTACCTGACCCACAATCTTACCTTTATTGGGGTTAATAGCCACTCTATCCTTTTAGTTACTAAGACCTTAATATCATATTCTTTAATCCATTCTCTCTTTTATCCCCATATCCAATTCATTATCAGCTGGCAATCCCTCTCAAATAAGTCTAGAATTTGACCACTTTTCTCAGGCTCCTACTACCCTGGTCCAAGTCATTATTAACTCTATTTTGATGATTTCAGTAGTCCCCTAACCAATGTTCTCAGTTTCTACCTAGCTCTTCTACATTCTGTTATCACAATAGCAGGCAGAATGATCCTATGAAAATTAAGACAGATCATGTCACTCTGCTGCTTAAAACCCTCCACTGATAATCCATTTCATTGAATAAAAGCCAATGTCCTTATAACAGCCTGGAAGGTCCTTCATGTTATCAATATGTCACTGCTATAGTTACATTTCTTATATAATGTAGGAAATTATGTACTGATTCAGTCTTAATGGTCTTCTTTTTCCTCCTTGTGTACCCCAGGGATTGTCTCCCCAATAGGGTCTTTGAATTTGTCTGGAATACTCTCCACTCAGATAGCTACATACCTTATTCTTCACTTCATTCAAATCTTTGCTCATTCCCTTAAAACTCTAAAACCTCACCTCTTCTCCCCTCAACATTACCTATCTTCCTTTCCTGTAGTTTTTCTCATACTTTTATATTATTCTCTAATATAGCATGTAATTTACTTATGTATCTTCTTTATTGTGCTCTCCTCCCTAGATTACTAATTGTATGAGGGTCAGGATTTTTGTTTTGTTTATAGCTGTATTCTTATTACATAGAACAATGCTGGCTCATTGTGGGTGCTCGATAAATATGTGTGAATGAATGAAGGAACGGTAATGTAGCACTCTTGAAGAATGAGTGGTTAGTAATACCAAATAAATTAGAGAGAAAAAGAGGTTTTGAAAATCTGGATATGGATTACATTTAGATAGAAAGGACACATGGATAATCTAAGGAAATCTTACAATAGCATATTGGCAGAGAAGATCTGTGTATTTTGTCACTCTCACTTTGTTTATTTTTATTATCATTCCCTATACTATTTTTCCCTCTCTAGCTCTGATAATGCCACCATCACTGGAAGACATTAAAATAAATGAGGCCCTCATGGTACAAGGCTAGTGGTTTATAAACTTGAGAAAACATTCCTTCTTGACCTAAGCTGAGAAAATGGGTCAGTAATTTTAATTAGTAAAACATACAATAGGATTCATTCCTTTTCATCTTCCTTTTCTTGTCTGAGTATACTTTTCTTAGCAGAATTTCTTTCCTCTTCTTAATATCTATCAAGGAATGTGAATTTGCTCACTCATATTTAAGACAGTTTACTGCTAGCATAAAGCTATATATTCAAGTGGAAATGAGTAACTTAATGAGTGCCATTAAGGCTTTTGTTGAATTGAAAATACACTTAGAAGGATTTTGGAAACAACTAAAAGATAAAAAAAGCCAAAGACTGACTTAAAAGAAAAATTATCTATATTCTCACTCATTGGCACAAAAACTTTTATGTATGGCAAAGAGAATTATGAAAATTCATAATCAAAACTGCTATTTTTCCTTCATGAGATTTCAGGGGAAAATTAATTAGTGCATACCTTAAATACCTATCTATCAATCAATCAATATATATATATATATTAAAAAACATATATGTATTTAAATTAAATTTCTATCAAACAAGGTATACTAACTTTCTCTTGCAGAGCTGGCTGAAAGCGCTGAACCTTTCCAGATCCCTGTAAAGACTGCCAAATGTTGCAAAATTCATCATCATCTTTGGTAGGTACCTGGAAAAGCACAAAAGATTTCTTAAGGAACTGAAATATGAAAACATAAAGACTTAGAAATAAAAAAATTTATTCATTACATAGCAGTAGACAAGATATATAAATTTCATTATCTGAACTTTCAGTTCTTTTTTTGGAGCTTAGTATAGGAATCATAAAAGTATTGGAGTGAAAATGGTCTTCAAATGCTGAAGAAAGATTTCACAATGTTGCGAAGGTTGGTTTTGAATGGTTTTACTCAAAATTAAAGCATAATAAGTGCTATAAAAGATTATACTGAATCAATATCCTTACCAACAGATTTTTTTTGTCTTCCAATGTACTGATGTATCTCATTCAAACTAACATCTAATAATTTTATTTTAAAAATCTTCATCTTTTACAAAATTAATCTAATAGATTAAAAAATCAGCTGTTAGTAATGAAGAACTGATTTCATGCAGATTAAAACTGGTAAAATATGTATGAAAATTAACAGTGGTTACCTATGAGATGTGAGATACTGTTTCCTCTGTCATTACCTCCCTACCCATGTTTCTAATTAGTCTATAATAAACATGTATTATTTGAATTAAAAAATATGGTTAAGATTGGGGACATGGGATTACATAAGTATCTAACAGAAAAAATTTTGTCTTCAGAAAGATGAAATAAAGGAAATCACTCATGAGTCACACATAGTGGGAACTTGAAAACTGCTTCTGATAAACATAATATAATTTTTTCACTTTCCCTTTTAAATTTATGTCATTTCAGAGCAAACAGAATTGGACATTTGAGTTATATAGGAAAAGAATTTAAAGGTTAGACTGAAAAGTAAATATGTAAAGAGAAAGCAAATATTCTCAAGCTCGTTATTTAAATGAATATATTTTCTTCTTTATTATAACTGTAATTTTATAACAAAGGTATAATGCTATCAATAGCATTCTTTATTAGCTAATTATCTTAAAACAAATCTGAAATTGACTTCAACCAAAACTTTAAAAATCAAAGTCAAATTAAATTTCCACTTACAAAATGCCTGTGATTTGCAAAAGAGGAAAGAATTAAAGACTAAGAGCCTTACTTGAGTAGGAACAAAAAGTGATTGAGGGGAATGATTCAGGCCTCCCAAATGCCCAGGAGAAACTGATGCATTTGAGCTATAGTGATTCACAGTTGGTTGTGGTTTCACAATAGCTGTCAACTTCTGATTTTCAGTTTCAGAGCGACTCCCATAAGAAAGGTTCACCAAGGCACTTGTTGGCAATCGATAACCTCTACCAGGTGAGCACCTAAAAGAAAAACGTTGTATCAGGGTCAGAGGGAAATACTACTAAATATGCTAGGGAGCAAAAGAATCAAATAACTTTTGGGTTGGATAGTCTGTTGTCTGATCTAATAGACATTATTTTTCTATGAAATCATATAAAGATCTCTTATAAGATGATACATTTCTGGTAATTTTCCTTACAGATTATTCAGTGCTACCAAGTGGGGAAAAAACACTGTTCTAGAGGTATAGTTATATGCATAGGGGTGTGTGTGTGTATGTTAGTTTGCCCTCATAAGGCTTCCTACACAACGGCTGAAAATAATTAAAATTTTATGAATCCAGTGTCCAATGTCTTTAAAAAAGCTATGTGTTGTACAGTCTGGTTTTTGAAAAACCACGAGCTACCCAAGTATGGAACTATTTATTCTCAGTGTGGCTCTACCTATGCAACAAGGTAAATGTAAGCTTTGATCACATTTGTCTCATGATCAATTTTTGTGATTTCCTTCCTTCCTGGCATTGATAAAAATGTTGGATATTATAATAAGCCTTCTCTTGTCAAAAGTTTTCAACAGTATTATATCACCTACTTTTCTCTCTCTGAGAATATAATCTTTATTTATTTTTATTTTTTTTGGTATCATTAATATACACTTACATGAACAATATTCTGGTTACTAGATTCCCCCCATTATCAAGTCGTGGCCACATACCCCATTACAGTCACTGTCCGTCAGCATAGTAAGATGCTATAGAATAACTACTTGTCTTCTCTGTGCTATACTGCCTTCCCCATGCATGCCCCCCACATTATGTGTGCTAATCATAATGCCCCTTTTTCCCCTTATTCCTCCCTTCCTACCCATCCTCCCCAGCCCCTTTTCCGTTGGTAACTGTTAGTCCATTCTTGGGCTCTGTGAGTCTGCTGCTGTTTTGTTCCTTCAGTTTTGCTTTGTTGTTATAGTCCACAAATGAGGGAAATCATTTGGCACTTGTCTTTCTCTGCCTGGCTTATTTCACTGAGCATAATACCCTCTAGCTCCATCCATGTTGTTGCAAATGGTAGGATTTGTTTTCTTCTTATGGCTGAAAAATATTCCACTGTGTATATGTACCGTATCTTCTTTATCCATTCATCTACTGATGGGCACTTAGGTTGCGTCCATTTCTTGGCTATTGTAAATAGTGCAGTGATAAACACAGGGTTGCATATGTCTTCTAAAACTGGGCTGCTGCATTCTTAGGGTAAATTCCTGGGAGTGGAATTCCTGGGTCAAATGGTATTTCTATTTTTAGTTTTATGAGGAACCTCCATATTGCTTTCCACAATGTTTTAACTAATTTACATTCCCACCAGCAGTGTAGGAGGGTTCCCCTTTCTCCACATCCTCACTGACATTTGTTTTATTCTCCTACTGATGGACACTTAGGTTTCTTGGCTATTGTAAATAGTGCAGCTCCAACATTGATGGAGCTAGAGGGTATTATGCTCAGTGAAATAAGCCAGTGCAGGGTGGGGACTTGATAATGGGGGGAATCTAGTAACCACAAAGTTGTTCATGTAAGTGCATATTAATGACACCAAAAAAAATAAAAAAACAATTTGTTGTTGTTTGTCTTTTCGATGGTGGCCATCCTAACTGGTGTGAGGTGATATCTCATTGTGGTTTTAATTTGCATTTCTCTGATGATTAGCAATGTGGAGCATCTTTTAATGTGCCTGCTGGCCTTCTTAATTTCTTTGGAGAAGTGTCTGTTCAGCTTCTCTGACCATTTTTTAATTGGATTATTTGAATTTTGTTTCTTGAGGTGTGTGAGCTCTTTATATATTTTAGATGTGAACACCTTATTGGATATGTCATTTATGAATATATTTTCCCATACTGAAGGATGCTTTTTTTCTTCTATTAATGATGTCCTTTGCTATACAGAAGCTTTTTAGTTTGATATAGTTCCACTTGTTTATTTTTGCTTTTGTTTCCCTTGCCTGTGGAGATTATGTTCATGAAGAAGTTGCTCATGTTTATATTCAAGAGAGTTTTGCCTGTATTTTCTTCTGGGTTTTATGGTTTCATGACTTACTTCAGGTCTTTGATCGATTTAGGGTTTACTTTTGTGTATGGAGTTAGACAGTAACCCAGTTTCATTCTCTTACATGTAGCTGTCCAGTTTTGCCAACATCAGCTGTTGAAGAGGCTGTCATTTCCCCATTGTACATCCATGGCTCCTTTATCGTATATTAAGTGACCATACATGCTTGGGTTAATATTTGGACTCTCTATTCTGTTCCATTGGTCTGTGGGTCTGTTCTTGTGCCAGTACCAAATAGTCTTGATTACTGTGGCTTTGTGGTAGAGCTTGAAGTTGGGAAGCAAGATCCCCCTGCTTTATTCTTTCTTCTCAGGACTGCTTTGGCTATTCAGGGTCTTTTGTGGTTCAACATGAAATTTAGAACTATTTGTTTTAGTTCGTTGAAGAATGCCTTTGGTATTTTGATAGGGATTGCATTGAACCTGTAGATTGCTTTAGGAAGGATGGCCATTTTGACAATATTAATTCTTCCTACCCAAGAGCATGGGATGAATTTCCATTTATTAGTGTCCTCTTTAATTTCTCTTAGGTGTGTCTTGTAGTTTTCAGAGTATAGGTCTTTCACTTCCTTGGTCAGTTTTATTCTTAGGCATTTTATTCTTTTTGATGCAATTGTGAACGTAATTGTTTTTCTGATATTTCTTTCTGCCAGTTCATTTGTGAGTGTATAGGAATGCAATGAATTTCTGTGTGTTAATTTTGTATCCTGCAACTTTGCTGAATTCAGATATTAGTTCTAGTAGTTTTGGAGTGGATTATTTAGGGTTTTTTATGTACAATGTCATGTCATCTGCAAACAATGACAGTCTGACTTCTTCCTTACCAATCTGGATGCCTTATATTTCTTTGTGTTGTCTGATTGCTGTGGCGAGGATCTCCAGTACTATGTTGAAAAGAAGCAGGGAGAGTGGGCATCCCTGTCTTATTTTCGATCTTAGAGAAAAAGCTTTCAGCTTTTCACTGTTAAGTATGATGTTGGCTGTGGGTTTGTCATATATGGCCTTTATTATGTTGAGGTACTTGCCCTCTACACATATTTTGTTGAGTGTTTTTATCATAAATGGATTTTGAATTTTGTTGAATGCTGTTTCTGCATCTATGGAGATGATCATGTGGTTTTTGTCCTTTTTTTTGGGTGGAGAATATAATCATTTTATATTGCAAGATCATGGAAAAGGTTAGAATTCTTTTATGAGAAATCTTTGTAAGATTTCTAGAATATATTTTCATGATAATGTATTTGAAGATTCTGATTATAGAAATGAATGTACTGTAGGCAGGTAATACTTTTACACAGCTCTCTATCAGTCAATAAATCTACTACCTTTACCTAGGAGGGAAAAAAGGACACTAATGAAAATGTTGATCATCTTAAAAATCTATTTTCAAAGTTCCAAGGCTATAGTTATTGGTAATCAAACATTTTCAAGAAAACTAAAATCAGATATGGGATCCACTCTGTTGCTTCATTTGAGGAGTCCAGACAGTAAAGAGTTTTGTTAACAGGAAAATTTATGTTATAAATTAATAATAGCGTTCTGAAGGTGATAATGGCATAAAGACTGAAAACTTATTTTTATGCAGAGGCAAAAAGAGAAATTTAATAATTTTAATTACCCACTAATCAAAATAGAGGAGAAAAGAAATTAAGCTAAATTCAGTTGATTTTTTCAGCCAGTTTTAAGTTGGCAGAAAGGAAATATAGAAAGGATTTCATTTAATCTTCACAGTAACTTAGTGAAGTACAGATCTTCACTGAAGATGATGAAATTGAGGGCCAGACAATTCACACACCCAAAGTAACACAAAGTATAGGTATAAGCGTTCACACTTTCTAATATTCTATTATTAGAATGGTGTCTCATTCTGTTATGATCATTTTTCCCACAACTTTAAATTTTCTATTAGTACTCCCCCAAAATATCCTTCAATAAGTCTTAACTTTGTTTAAATTAAGAATAAACAATCTGAGAGGCGGAAAAAAGATGGTGGCCTAAGAAGTGAGGCAGAAACCTCCTCCCAAAACCACATATAACATGAAAATACAGCAAATACAACTAATCAGAAAGAGCAATCTGAAGACTGAGAAAGACTGCCTACATTTGGGGAAACCATAGCACAAAAGGGTAAAGTGCAATCTGGGGGGACCCAAGCCCTTCCTCAACCACAGCTCACAGGAGGAAGGAAGAGAAACAGAGCAGGGATGGAGTAGAAGCCCAGGACTGTTAAACACCCAGTCCTGGATATATGCTCCAGGAGCACGAATCCACAATATATGATGCTCAGGAGATTAGTTGGTTTGGAAGGCAGAGACAGGCGGAATACTCAGAGAGATTGAGATACCAGCCACTTGTAGAGAATAGGTAGCCACAACGGGCCTTTCTGGGGCAAAAGTAAGGTGGGCACTTTGAAAGACTTCCGACAATGAGAGGGGTGCTGAAGGGGCAAGGATTACTCAGAACTTCCTGCTCAAGAGAAAGGACAGGTGAATAAAATCATCCCATCACACTCAGACCAGCAGATAGGCACTCCATTCCCCTGGCTGGCAATGCAGTGCGGAGGCCCCCACTGCAATAGGCAGCCTGCCATTCCTTCCACCTGAACAGCATGGGTTTGCAAACATGCGGCCCCTGCCTTTGTGCCAGGCCAGCTGGAGAGTGGCCCTGCCTACAGTAATTATAAGGACCTAACTCGGGGTGCCTTCACCTGCTCTTGGCCCATTGGCTGTGGCATTGGAGGCAGGCACTGCAGCAGGGAAGAAGGAAAGAGCTCTTTAGAACTGGCAGGCATGGGTGCTGATCATCTGCAACCCCCACCATCACTCCAGATAGTGGGCAGCTCCAGACAGTAGGGCTTCTGGGCACTACAGGGAGCTGCCTACACAAAGTTATTATTCTATAGTAACATTAGTAATATGAAATGGCAAAA